TTTAAGTGGGTAGATGAGGCTTTTACTCATTAGATTGGACAGTTGGAATTTCAACTCGGTGTTCTTGAAGAAGAAGTTAGAGTGATGAAGATGGAAAGGAACCAAGAGAGGATGGAAAGCGGTCCGATGGAAAAGAACAAAAAGAGAAGGACATTAAAATGGTAATCGTTTTTAGTTGTGGTAGTTTAATCACCATGGCAATTTTAGAATGTTGTGTTTGTCGTAGAAAAAACCTAAGTGTTGTAATGTTTAATTATGAAGAATAAGTGTTGAATTTGATATGATGAATGGATATGAATCTAATTACGAAGACTAAGTGTTGTGTAGTAGAAAAAACCTATTTATTTGGGTTCATATTCTTTTTTTAACAATTACGAAGACATATAATTGTACCTAGTGTTACAAAACATAAGAAAATATACCAAAATAAAACAATAAACATGCAATACTTATACCAAACTTTCTAAAGCATAAGTAGATATACAAAAAAAAACCAATAAACATGTTCAACAGTTGTACCAAGTTTTGAAAAGCATAAGGAGAAATACAAAAACAAAATAATTACCAAGTTCCAACAATTGTACCAAGTTTTCAACAACCAACATAGTTATACCTAAAAAAACCAACAATTAAAAGTGCTTAAACATTCTTCTTCGTCTTTGTCCTCGCATTTCTCGTCTGTATAGGACTCTGATACACCGGCTTCACATTCGTCCTCGACTTTGCCACCTTCTTTACCACCTTCTTTACCACCTTTGGGCTTTTTAACGTCCCTTCCATCATCATGTGACTTTCCTCACTTCTTACTTGGCTCAGCAGCCTTACCTCCATCCATCTCATCATCTTGAGGCACCTCTTTGTCTTTCTCCATCTCCATATTACCACCGCACACCTCAATCTCACTTTCAGCCACCTCTTTGCCCTTCTCCATCTCCTTATTACCACTGCACACCCCAATCTCACTTCCAGCCACCTCTTTGTCCTTCTCCATCTCCCTATTATCACCATCCACATCATTCTTATTTTCATCCACCTCTTAATTCATCTCCATCTCCTTGTTACCATCAAATACATCACTGTCATCTTGAGCCACCTCTTTGTCTATCTCAGTCTCTTTTTCTCCAACCTCTCTCTCCTTATCACCACCATTTGCATCAATCCCTTCATCTAGCTCGTTTTCTCTAACATCACTCTCCTTTGAACCATACGCACCATATGTTCCAGTGCTTGATTGGATTGATTTGATTGCCGCTTCCATCAGTTTGAGTTTTTTTTATCTTACTCTTCATACTTCTTACTGAAATCTTTCATCCTCTTATTCATGGACTTAAATCCATTCTCCATCAAATTCTTCAATCCGTATTCAACAAGACCTTTCTTCCAGCCATCAGCTATTACATCATCAACATCATTCACTCCACACTCCACATCCATAATTCTTTTCAAACGTAGTTTCTCATCAGGAGTTGGAGTCAAGATACTCTAAATGTCTTAAGCATGATAAAAAAATCCAATTAATAGAACATCCATGATACATGTTAGATAACTCATAAACATGTTATCACTAACCTTAGTTTTACCGAGTTTGTCATACACATCTGGCATTGGAAACCCTTTCATAGTGCTTGATTTAAACTTCATTTTACAAATCCGGGGACACTGAGATCTGCACATTCAATATCTTCGCATAAATTTTTCCTAAGAACTGGAATCGACTTACTACAAAACAAACAAAATATAAATTATTCAAAACTAAGTTGTATAATTGCTAAAAAAACAAAGTTGTACACAATTTAACTTTCTTAAAACAATGAAGAGATGAATAATGAAATGACATACCTCCAAAGGCATAACAAAACTAGGAAACACCTTTTGTGGACCAACTACTCCATTGCATTGGTCCATCAAATAGAAAATGTTTTTCACATTTTCATCAAATGCATATCTCCCCCACGAAAATATTTTGCACAACTCTAGATCAGCCACAACCCTAAGGAAAAACTTCTCCACACTTGGTGCATTTTCTCCTGTCTTACCCTTTCCAACGATTACACTACATAAGAAGTAGAGCACAGCTACTCTCAGACGAGCCTCAGAAGGTTTTTTCATAGACATTAACTTTTCCTCCACATCTGGATATTGAATTGTTGCTCTGGGTCCAAAACTCTTGCCGACAAAAGTGGTACTACCCAAGCTGTTGAAGGGTTTGGTATAACTATGACAGTATAATCCTGACATGAGTGCAAATTCTTCGAGAGAATACCGGATCGGAACGCCATTAACAATAAACGATACTTCCCTCTTCTTCTCTAAACATGATGTACGAAGAAATAACAGCCACATACCCATCACACCTTATGATTTGGGTCCTTATGCATGTGGAAGAAGTGTTTGAACTGTGGGTGATCCAAAAATCACTTCAACTCAGAGTCTTTAAGATGACTCTCCAATAATCTTATTGCCTTATGAAGATAACACTTTGCTGTAATCTTGAATGGCTTTGTATACTCACTTGGACCAAAGTACATTTTAAGAGGTTGAAGAGCTTTGGTTTCCTCATCAGAATCTTGCAATCAACATAGATATACCTTAGAAAGCAACATAGATAAGTTAGAAATCAAAATAGATATACCTAGTTTATACATAGATATACATTTTAGTTTTAAAAATTTTTAAGTTAGATTCAAACATAAATATACCTAGTTTAAAAAAAATATATATTTTTAGTTTCATATTGATATATCCCTATTTTTACTGATTTTATCTATGTTTTAGGTTTAGGATTTTGAGTGTTTATGTTATTTCTCGAGTCTTTTTAGTGTGTTTTCAGGTATTCTATGCAGTGGGACAACAATGGAGATGATGAGACATTTTGGAGCAAAAGCTAAGGAAAAGGAAGCTAAAGACGATCTCGGATTCCAGATTCAGAGAGAGTGTCGATCGACACAATCCTGGTGTCGATCGACACCCGTTTCGGCCCAGCAAAGTCAATGACGCTTTTAAATTTACAGAAGTGGAAATTTGCCCCAGAAGACTTCCCTATTTCCATTATTAGTCCATGGACGTTTTATAGGTCTTATGTATAGTTTTAGAGGTCACCTTACAACTCCTTCTGGGTGTCTACTAATGTCCTAGGCACCTTAATAGCTTATTCAAACAAAAGAAATGAATTGATAAAGGAAGATGATTCTCCTGCGTAGGAGAGCCCAGGCTTACCATTGGATTCAGTTTAGACCTAAGTTCCTTTTATCAAGTTCTTTGCAATCCCTTTTTTCAGAGACATAAGCTATTCATCCATTGTTTTCAGAGATTCATTCAGTTTTCAATACAGTGAAGAGATATTTTCTTACTCTCATCTTATTTGCTGTGTTTATGCTTTCTAACTCTATTATGTTGTTTGTTTCATTCAATATGTCAGAGTAGTTTGCTTGTTAGAAATAGGGTATCTCATTAGGGTTTCATATGGTTTAGTATATCGCCCCCTTTGCTAGAATATCTGTAGAGTAATTAATGCTAGATCTAGAGTAATTAACTAGATTTTGAATCCAAACAATAGATACCATATGAAACCATATGATAAGCTATTCATCTATTGTTTGGATTCAAACAATAGATACCATAGGTATCTATAGTTGGATCTATTATTTGATGAGCCTGGTTTATAGGTGTGTAATAAGAATCGGCTTATCTACTAGGAGAACAATTGAACTCGTTTAGAATGCATGTTTAGGTTAAAAATCTCTCTTATTCTCCGGTTATTCTTAGCTATAAGCATAGGGAGTTTCGCAGAACACCTCCGGTTATTTAATAATTAGAGTTTGAGTTTAAGAATGGTTCGATAACAACCTAGCTTTCATTAGGTTTAGTAACCAATAATTCCTGAGAATACCATGTTCCTAGCTCTTTATTTCATCGTTTACAACCAATCAATCTTCTATTTTTTTACTTGGTTTACTTTTATTTTCTTATAATCTCTTCTAGATTAGTCTCGACATTCAACTCATTGTTTGAACAAAAGAATTTTGTGAAAATCCATCCTTAAATACTACAATTGATCTCTTATTTGAGAGAGTAGTTCTTAGGGTAATTTGAACCTTATCAAATTTGGCGCCTTTGCCAAAGTTCTTGGGAATCACCATTGAGTTTAGTTTATAGATTTCGTCTAGTTTTTACTTTTATTTTGTTACTTACGCGTTTTTTGTTTTTGTTTATGTTTTGTGTTTCAGGTGTATGCCTAGGCAAACAAGGAGCACACAACAGAAAGAGCCAATCAACTTGTCTGTTTTGGACTTGGGAAAACTTGAACGTACCAACCGAAAAACTCAAAGATTAGCAATGGATGACAGAGTCATCAGAGCTGATGCAGAAGGAGTTTTGGGAGATGAGGATGGGCAAGCCTACAATGAGGCTGGTCAGAGATTGGATGATCATGGACTCCTCTTACCTGAGGACGCCAATGAAGATCAGGCACGCCTCAATGCGCAATTAGCTGCCAGAGACGCAATAGGGCTCGGTGTCGATCGACACCTTCGGGAGCAGAATTCAGACACGATTGGTGTCGAGCGACACAATAGAGGTGTAGATCGGCACCAACCTCAGAATCTTGCAGCTATTCCTCCAACTGCGGAACTACGTCGTACTCTGAGGAATTTAACAGGCCTGACCTGTTCCATGCTAATCGATCTTCGATCGTACCCCCACCCTTCCAGAGAAACGATTATGAGCTAAAGCCTGGCTACTTTGCTTTAGTTGGCCAGCATCCTTTCCATGGCTTATCTCATGAGCAGCCAATGGACCATATCGAGCGTTTTGAGGACCTCGTTCTGAGCATCAAAGCTAATGGAGTCTCACAGGACTACCTACTGTGCAAGCTCTTCCCTTATTCACTTGCTGGGGAAGCCGCTTCTTTGTGGAAACAACTAAAGGCAGGTTCCCTCAAGACTTGGAGAAGCATCAAGATAGCATTTTTGAACAATTTGTACGATGATGTTAAGTCTGAGGAGCTGAGAAACAAGCTGTCTACCTTCACCCAAGGTCCAGCTGAGGCTTTCAAAGCCGCTTGGGTTCGTTTCAAGGAGTATCAACAGGTCTGCCTGCATCATGGCTTCAGTGAGGTATAACTTCTTGGTACCTTTTTCAGTGGAGTTGATTAGAGGTGCCAGATGGCTCTAGATGCGGCGAGCAATGGTAACTTTAACACGAGATATCCGGCTGATGCTACCGCTCTGATAGAGAATCTCGTTTGTAGTAACAGCACCAAGAATGCTGACTTTGAGAGGAAGAAGATTGTTGGTTGTTTCAGGCAATCAGATGGCAGAGGTACATGCCAAGTTGTAATCAGTTCACAACTTGCTTACAAGGAAGAAGCATGTCCACTTTGCAGTTGAGGATGAGTCTATTGAGCCTGAGACTGAGTCAGAAGAGGGATTCTTCTACATAGATGGTCAGGACTACAAGAAGTTTGGGCAGCCACAGGGTAACTTCAGTAGCAATCGGTTTACAGGGAACCAGAGCTACACTCCAAAGCCTGCCTTTCAAAAGTCATTTCCTCATAGCAACTTCGAGAGGACATATGGTAATTCAGCTTACCAAGCCCCCCTTCCACCCTCATCAGAGAGCATAATGCAATCTATGCTTGAGAAGATTCTTGAGAGCCAAACAAAGCTCGTTGTCGAGTTTAATGGCAAGTTTGATGCTGTCTACACAGATCTTAATGGGAAGATTGACAATCTGAGCTCTCACTTGAAGAAGTTGGATGTACAGGTAGCTCAAACTACACAATCCATTAAGAGACAAGAGGGTTTTCTTCCTGTTAATCCTGATGCTAACCCAACGAAGAGCTGTAATGCCATCTTGATCAGAGAAGGAGATGATGTGTGGAAAGAATTGGACATTGGAGACGAGTTGGAGCTCGCTACTGCAGAGTTGGTATCGACCGAAACCTACAAGTGTTGATCGACACCCTATAGAACACTCTTCTATGAGACGATTCCATACGAAGGTGTCGATCGACACACCTCTAGTGTTGATCAACACTGGGTCCGGACTGCACCATATGAGGTGAGAATTCCGATGAAGCCCGAGACTGCTTACACTCCTCCTGTCCCTTATCCGAAAAAGCGTCGTTCTAAGCAGGAGATTCATGCGGCTAAGTGCACAACCATCATGGAGAAGATCCTCATTTCTCTTCCTAAGGATGCTTCTAAAACATCTTCTACTCCACTCAACAGGTATGTCAAGCGACTTGTTGACAATGAGATTAGCTCTGCTGAAGCTAAACTGCTGACAAGAGACATTAGTGCAATTCTGTTGCCTAAGGTCAAGAAAGAGAAGGCATAGAGAGTGGACATTGCTGAGTACATTCGCTCTATCACTCCTGATTAGACCACTCAGAAGCTCCCGGATCCAGGCAGCTTTATTCTTGATTGCTCTATCTCCTCAAGCAGGTTCAGCCGCTCTTTGTGTGATCTGGGATCAAGTATCAACCTCATGCCTAAGTTTGTTTCTGAGAGACTAGGCATGACTAACTACAGGCCGACTCGAATCACTCTCCTCTTCGCGGATCGTTCCAAATGAATCCTTGAAGGAATTCTTGAAGATGTTCCTGTTAAGGTTGGTAACTCCCTAATCCCTGCTACTTTTGTGGTCCTGGACTACGAGAAGGAACCCAAGGATCCTCTTATCCTTGGAAGAGCATTCCTAGCTACAGGTGGTGCTAGGATTGATGTGAAGAGAGGTAGGATCTCTCTCAAAGTTTGGGATTTGGAGATGGAGTTTGGCATGGATTGTTCAGCGCTCACTAAGCCTATCAGTAGTATTGCCTCTAGCACAGATACACCTCCTCTGACTGCTCAAAATCCCAAAACATAGCCACACACATCGCTCCCATCCGCTCAGCTCGCCCATGAGAGTTGCAGAGAATTGGTGTCGATCGAGACCATCCCTCCGGTCGATCGACACCCTCGGAATCCACAGACAGAGGATTATGCACATTCTCTTCAGCCCACACCTCTCGAAGCCCTCTGTGATAAGTTCTCCTCTATCTCTTCTCCTGCTTTACCTTCGATTAATTCCCCAATGATTCAAAGCCTAGAGTTGTTGTCCTTCTGTCTAAATAATTAATCGAGAGTAAAGCAAGAGAAGAGAACTTATCACATAGGTCCTCAAGTGGTGTGGGCTGAAGAGATTGTGCAGAACCCTCTGTCTGTGAATCCCGAGGGTGTCGATCGACAAGAGTAGTCGTGTCGATCAACACTGTTGCTCTACAACTCTCATTGGCGAGCTGAGCTGATGGGAGCGTTATGTGTGGCTCTGTGGTGGGATTCTGAGCAGTCTGAGGAGGTATGTTTGTGCTAGAGGCAATACTACTGATAGGTTTAGTAAGATCTGAACCATCCATTCCAAACTCCATCTCCAAGTCACAAATCTTTAGAGAGAATCTATCTCTCTTCACATCAAACCTAGCACCAGCTGTAGCTAGGAACGCTCTTCCAAGGATAAGAGGATCCTTGGGTTTCTTCTCATAATCTAGGACCATGAAATCAGCAGGGATAAGAGAGTTACCAACCTTAACAGGAACATCTTCAAGGATTCCTTCAGGGATTCGTTTGGAACGATCCGTGAAGAGGAGAGTGATGCGAGTCGGCCTGTAGTTAGTCATGCCTAGTCTCTCTACAACAGACTTAGGCATGACGTTGATGCTTGATCCCAGATGACACAAAGAGCGGCTGAACCTGCTTGTGGAGGTAGAACAATCAAGAACGAAGCTACCTGGATCTGGAAGCTTCTCAGTGGTCTGATCAGGGGCGATAGTGCGGATGTACTCAGCAATGTCCACTCTATGTGCCTTCTCTTTCTTGACCTTAGGCAGAATGATGGCATTGATGTCCCGTGTCAGCAACTTAGCTTCATCTCAGCTAATACCATTGTCACAAGTCGCTTGACATACCTGTTGAGTGGAGTAGAAGATGTCTCAGAAGCATCCTTAGGAAGAGAAGTGAGGATCTTCTCCATGATGGCTATGCACTTAGCAGCATGAATCTCCTGCTTAGAACGACGTTTCCGCGGATAAGGGACATGAGGAGTGTAAACAAACTCAGGCTGCATTGGGATTTGCACCTCACAAGGTGCAGTCCGGATCCAATGTCGATCGACACTTGAGGGGTATCGATCAACACCTTCGTATTGAGTTATCTCAGAGAAGAGTGTCCCATAGGGTGTCGATCGACACTGGAAGGTGTCGGTCGACACCATCTCTGCAATAGCGAGCTCCAACTCGTCTTCAGTGTCTAATTCTTCCTACACATCATCTCCTTCTCTGATCAAGATGGCATTACAGCTCTTCTTTGGGTTAGCATCAAGATTACCTGTACATCCAGCTTCTTCAAGTGAGAGCTCAGATTGTCGATCTTCCCTTTAAGATCTGTGTAGACAGCATCAAACTTGCCATTAAACTCCACAACGAGCTTTGTTTGGCTCTCTAGAATCTGCTCAAGCATAAATTTCATTCTTGTCTCTAATGAAGGTGGAGGGGGGGCTTGGTAAGCTGAATTACCATAGGTCTTCTAGAAGTTGCTCTGAGGAAAGGTCTTCTGAAAAGCAGGCTTTGGAGTGTAGTTGGAGGAACTCTGGTTCCCTGTAAACTTGTTGCCACTTAAGTTGCCTTGTGGCTGCCCAAACTTCCTGTAGCCCTGACCATCGATGTAGAAGACTCCCTCTTCAGACTCAGTCTCAGACTCAATAGACTCATCCTCAGCTGCAAAGTGGACATGCTTCTTCCTTGTAAGCAAGTTGTGAACCAAATCCAACTTAGCAATCACCTCTACCATTTGATTGCCTGAAATAGCTCATGCAATCTTATTACAAGCGAGGTTCTCTATCAGAGCAGTAGCATCAGCTGGGTAACGTGTGTTGAAGTTACCATTGCTCGTTGCATCTAGAGCCATCAGGTATCTCCAATCAACTCCTTTAAAAAAGGTACCTAGAAGTTGTACCTCACTGAAACCATGATGTGGGCAGTCTCGTTGGTACTCCTTGAAACGAATCCAAGCAGCATTGAAAGCTTCAGCTCGTCCTTGGGTGAAGATAGACAGCTTGTTTCTCAACTCATCAGACTTAACATCATCGTAGAAATTATTCAAGAAGGCTATCTTGATGCTTCTCCAAGTCTTGAGGGAACCTGCTTTAAGTTGTTTCAGCCAAGAAGCGGCTTCTCCAGCAAGTGAATAAGGGAAGAGCTTGCACAGTAGGTAGTCCTTTGAGACTCCATTAGCTTTGATGCTCAGAACAAGGACCTCAAAGCGCTCGATATGGTCCATTGACTCCTCATGAGATAAGCCATGGAAAGGATGTTGGTCAACTAAAGCAAAGTAGCCAGGTTTCACCTCATAATCGCTGATCGATTAGCATAGAACAGCTCAGGCCTGTTGAAATCCCCAAGAGTACGACGTGGTGGGCATATCTATTGTCTGGATTCAAGATCTAGTTAATTACTCTAGATCTAGCATTAAGCATAATCAAAGATGAAGAAATCTATAGATAACCTAGCAGAGGGGGCAATCTACTAAACCATATGAATCCCTAATGAGAAACCCTATTCCTAACAAGCAGATTACTCAGACATATTGATTGAAGCAAACACCATAATTGAGTATGAAAGCATAAACACAGCAAATAGAAAAAGAGAAAGAAGGGATCTCTTCACTGTATTAAGAACTGGAATGAATCTCTCAAGAACAATGGATGAATAGCTTATGTCTCTCACAATAGGGTTTTGCAAAAAGCTTGATAAGAGAAAACTAGGGTCTAGAACAATGTATATAAACCCTATAAAACGTCTAGGGAGTAATAATGCAAATAGGGAATTCTTTTGGGGCAAATTTCCTCTTCTGTAAACTTGAAAACGTCATGGACTTTGCTGGGCCGAAACTGGTGTCGATCGACACCAGGAGTGTGTCGATCGACACTCCTCTTGATCCTTGAGTCCAAAATCGTCCTTAGCTTTCTTTTCCTTAGCTTTTGCTCCAAAATGTCTCCTCATCTCCATTATTGTCCCACTGTATAGAATACCTGAAAAGACACTAAAAAGACTCGAGAAACAACATAAAG